TTAATAGTTCAGAACCAACTTGAGAGAACAGTCTAGTATTAGAATATAGGCAGAGTTATATTCAAGCGAGAGAATGCCTGCGCTCTGTCCTCACTCTAAAGAAAGTGTTTACCCTACCAATCCCAGAATTTCCTCTCCCTTAAGAGAGACAAGCTTTCAAACTACACAGAGCTCTTCCTCAGGTCTGTGGAAATAGTGTCACAGCTAAATACAAGGCCAACAGATAGAATATGTGCTAACTAGTTATGCTAAACTAAGAGACCTTTCAAGGTGAAGTAGCCTATTAACACCTCTGTATCATAGGACAAAAAGGAGGTTTAGTGGATTACAGATTGTTGTAATAAACCATAAATTTAGTGTCTTGATTAAGACCATGATTTTTAGGGAAGGTCTACACTACAAACTTGCATTGGTGTGGCTGCACTGTTTGGTGACGATGCTCTAAGCTGATGGGAGAGAGCTCTCCTCTTTGCTTAATAACTCCACCTCCACGAGAGATGGTAGCTATGTCGGCGGGAAAAGCTCTCCTGCCGTCATAGGACTGTCTGCATTGGGGGTTAAGGTTGGTATAATTACATTGCTTAGGAGTGTGGATTTTTCACACCACTGAACAACATAGTTATATTGAAGTAAGTGTGTAGCGTAGACCTGGCCATAGTGTCTAGCAACGTTAGGAATTTAAGCTCCCAGGCTCATCTTTTGAAAGTGTTGTGCAGGTTTCCTTTGAGGATGGGAGTGATAGGTCAGATGTAGAGTGATGACTTTGTGAAAAGTGTTCACCCACAGTGATATGGTGTTTTTGTCTTCTATCCTCTTCCTCTGTAAGTTCATTTGAGAGCATAGTGATTGTCTCGTTTCACCCAGAGAGGTTGGAGGGTTGTTTGAAGACCAGGCTCATCATCAGAAGCAGGCTCCCCATAGACCAGGACACACCAACTCAAAGTAGCACCAGATCCTGCCAGAACAACAAAAGCAAAACCTGCGGACTTATCTCCACTGCTACAATGATCAATACCCCTCACAACACACCTTTTAAGATCCACTGGTCCTATAAATGCCTACCACAACATGTGGTTTACCTCATCCAGTGCACTAAATGTCCCAATAACAACTATGTGGTTGAAACCAGACAATCACTATGTTCTCGAATGAACTCACACAGGAAAAGTATAAAAGACAAAAACACTGTATTAACTGTGGGTGAACACTTTCCACAAAGTGATCACTCTATATCTGACCTATCAGTCCCCATCCTCAAAGGAAACATGCATGCTTTCAAAAGACAAACCTAGGAGCTTAAATTCCTAACTTTGCTAAACACTAAAAAATCATGGTCTTAATAAAGACACTGGATTTATGGCTTATTACAACAATCTGTTAACCCACTAACCCCGCTTTTTGTCCTATTACTACCGGGATGTTATCGGGCCATTTCATCCTGATGGTCCCTTAGTTTAGCATAAGTAGTTAGCATACATTCTATCTCTTCAACCTTGTATTTAGCTGTGACACTCTAAGTACCTTTCCCAGACCTAAGGAAGAGCTCTGTGTAGCTGGAAAGCTTGTCTCTCTCACCAACAGAAATTGGTCCAATAAAATATATTACCTCACCCACCTTGTCTCTCCAACATCCTGGGACTGACATGGCTAAACAACACAGCATAATTTCCATTAAAGGACATTATTAGAATTGTCCTAAAGGAAATAGATAAGTGATACTTGTTCACTCCAGATACTCACGCAGGATCTCTTGGATGGTAACAGGCTCTTTGGTTAGTGCTGGTTCGCTCTCACCAGCCAGATTTATAGCCCTGACACGGAAGTAGAGTTTGTCCCCGGTGACCAGATCTTTAATGAGTGCAGATGTTCTCTCAGTTAGACCCTGAAGAGCTGGAACCCACTCTGTAGCTGCAAGTAGAGGGTTTCTGTTTTAAAATAATACAAACTTTCTAAATTAAAGTCGCCTCTACTTTCTTTAGGACTGTGTCTTCAGGAAGTTTAGTGATGACTATTGAGGGCTTTCTTTGCAACTGATTTCATAAAAGTGGAAGGGAGTGGCTCTAACAGGGAGGCAGTGAGTTAGGTTAATTCTTTCCTGAAACTGATATATCCCTTAACTATGTATATGGTACTCAGATACTATGGTGACAGAAACATGCTTCTAACAACAATAGTGCAAATAATGGAATTTATCACCTCATTTTTTTCTGCATTTTTACAAGTTGATGGCAGTAGGACAGCATTTCTAGTGCTTCTTCAGTAATACTAACAGCATAGAAGTCATGATACTAAGAGCACTGTTGTCATGCTGTGATGATGTAACAGTGATTCTGGTAACTCTGCAGTGATTATCATTAGTGAATAGATACTAGGGTGATAAGACACTTTAGAAAAACCTAATACAGATTACATGGCATCACCATAATAACGTGGTACTGCAGTGACCCTAGGAGATACAGCTGCTTTGTCAATGGTGACTGGTAACAGAGAAGATTCTATATTCCATTATTCCATATTGATGCTATAATGATTGTGGTGATTATGATTATGCTGCTGCTGCAGTAGTTGATTTGATGACATGATAATGGTGATGTTGTGAAGATACCACGAACATGAGGATTCTAGACTTGCTGCAGTAATACTTTGGTAACCATAGACATATGGTATCAAGTAAGATTAGGGTAACTGTAGTATTTGATTAAGGGTATGTCTACTCTAGAAACACTACAGTGGCATAGCTGTGGCGCTGCAGTTACACCATTGTAGCGCTGTAATGTAAATTAGGGCTGTCAAGTAATTAAAAAAAATAATTGCAATTAATCATGCAGTTACATAATAATAGAATATCATTTATTTAAATATTTTTGATGGTTTCTACATTTTCAAAATATATTGATTTCAATTACAACACAGAATACAAAGTGTACAGTGCTCACTTTATATTTGTTTTTTATTACAAATATTTGCACTATAAAAAACAAAAGAAATCGTATTTTTCAATTCAACTAACACAAATACTGTAGTGCAGTCTCTTTACCATGAAAGTTGAACATACACATGTAGAATTATGTACCAAAAAAACTGCATTCAAAAATAAAACCTTGTAAAACTTTAGAGCCTACCAGTCCACTCAGTCCTACTTCTTGTTCAACCAATTACTCAGACAAACAAGTTTGTTTACATTTGCAAGAGATAATGCTGCCCGCTTCTTGTTTTACAATGTCACCTGAAAGTGAGAACAGGTGTTTGCATGGCACTGTTGTCACCAACTTGCAAGATATTTACGTGCCAGATGCGTCATATGTCTCTTTCATGTTTCAATCAGCATTCCAGAGGACATGCGTCCATGCTGATGACAGGTTCTGCTCTATAACTACCCAAAGCAGTGCGGACCATTCATAGCATGTTCATTTTCATTATCTGAGTCAGATACCACTAGCAGAAGGTTGATTTTTCTTTTTGGTGGTTCGGGTTCTGCAGTTTCCGCATCGTTATGTTGCTCTTTTAAGACTTCTGAAAGCATGCTTTACACCTTGTCCCTCTCAAATTTTGGACGGCACTTCTGATTCTTAAACCTTGGGTCGAGTGCTGTAGCTATCTTTAGAAATCTCACATTGGTACTTTCTTTGTGTTTTGTCAAAGCTGCAGTGAAAGTGTTCTTAAAACGAACAATGTGTGCTGGGTCATCATCCGAGACTGCTATAACATGAAATATATGGCAGAATGTGAGTAAAATAGAGCAGGGGACATACAGTTCTCCCCCAAGGAGTTCAGTCACAAATTTAATTAACGCATTATTTTTTTAACGTATGTCATCAGCATGGAAGCATGAAGGGGCATACAAATATTTAGCATATCTGGCGCATAAATACCTTGCAATGCCAGCTACAAAAGTGCCATACAAACACCTGTTCTCACTTTTAGGTGACATTGTAAACAAGAAGCGGGCAGCATTATCTCCCATAAATGTAAACAAACTTGTTTGTCTTAGTGATTGGCTGAACAAGAAGTAGGACTGAGTGGACTTGTTGGCTCTAAAGTTTTACACTGTTTTTTTTTTTAAAAACCCTACATTTGTAAGTTTCACTTTTACGATAAAGAGATTGCACTACAGTACTTGTATGACGTGAATTGAAAAATACTATTTCCTTTGTTTATCATGTTTACAGGGCCAATATTTGTAATAAAAAATAATATAAAGTGAGCACTATACACTTTGTATTCTGTGTTGTAATTGAAATCAATATATTTGAAAATATAGAAAAACATTCAAAAATACTTAATACATTTCAATCGGTGTTCTATTGTTTAACAATGCGATTAAAACTGCGATTAATTATGATTAATTTTTTTAATTGGGATTATTTTTTTGAGTTAATCATGTGAGTTAACTGCGATTAATTGACAGCCCTAGTGCAAATACTTCCTACATTGACAGAAACAGTTTTTCTGTGGAAGAAGATAATCCACCTCTCCAAGAAGCAGTAGCTAGGTCGATGGAAGAATCCTTCTTTTGGCCTAGGCATATCTACATGGGGAGGGTGGGGGGGCAGGTTGACCTAACTATGGTGCTGCAGGTGCAACATTTTTTACAGCCCTGAACAATAGAGCTAGGTCAACCTAAGTTTTAGTGTAGACCAGGCCTCGTGGTGATATGGTATTTATTTTATTTGTATTACTGTAGCACCTAGGAGCTATAGTCAAGGACCAGGACCCCATTGTGCTGGTTGTTGTACATACATAGAACAAAAAGATATTGCTAATGTGTTGTCTGTAGAGATGATATGGGTTTTTTGACTTGCATTGGATGCTGCAGAAATGCTAAGATGGTGATTGCAGTGATGCACTGAGTCTTTTTGCAATACTGTGGTTAACTGCAAGTACCGTTTGTGATGATTATTGTGAAGATGATGGTGTGACAACAATGTTATGCTTGATATGATTATATCATGGTACTATGAGAATGCTGAAGTAAATCTGGCAATGCTTGATAATTATATTAGGATCACGTCCACCATCGTTAGTGGTAAGCTTTAATGTAATGATGCTGGATGTACTTATTTGTAGTGCTGCTGTTGTGAAGCTGTAGTGGTTATGGTGATATTTTAGTTATTCTGTTCTGACTGATAATGCTCAATCAATACTGTGGTACACCTCTACCTCGATATAACGCTGTCCTCGGGAGCCAAAAAATCTTACCGCGTTATATCAAACTTGCTTTGATCCGCCAGAGTGCACAGCCCCGCCCCATCCCCCCGGAGCACTGCTTTACCGTGTTATATCAGAATTCGTATTATATCGGGTCGTGTTATATCGGGGTAGAGGTGTACTAGGGCTTACTCACATCCTTCTTTGCAGTACTCCACATTGTAGCCATCTAGTCCCCCTGCTCCAATCCGCTCAGGGGGTCTCCACTTCAGGGTAACAGTGCTGTCAGAGATGTCTTCCACTGTCAAGTGGGTTGGTTCACTTGGGGGAGCTAAAAGAAAAGAAGTAGAAAGTAAAATCCTGAGATATAGGATTATAAGTGAGAGAACATGGTAGATGTACAGGGAGTGATCAGTGTATGAATTATCTTACTAAGGGGGGGGCGGGCAAAATGATATAGAATCATATCAAAACCTAGCTCTAAAATGTAACCTCTGTCGCTCCACTTGATGGAAGAGTCAGTGACTAAAACCAGGACTGTGAAGAATACAAGATACTTGTACAGTAACATAGGAAGTCTAGATAGATAGCAGTTGCTGTGCATAAGTTCCTTTATAGATAAAAGCTGATGAAGAGACTAGAGCTCTGGAGAAATGAATCAGCTTTTCAGCTGAGGAGAGCAGGGGAACGGGAAAAAACAATATCTGTACAATTTGTATACTGCACTTATGACTTGACTATTACCAGGCAAAATTCACATAGACAGGGCCAAATTCATCAATGGCATAAATTGGTGTAATACATTTTACTTCAGTGGTGGTTTGTTGGCTTACCGCAGTGGTGAAAATGGCCCATAGTATCCATATTTATTTACAAGTGCAACTAGATCTGGTCTGTGCAATAGAAACAGAAACATGAGAAAAAACATTTTGGTGTCAAGGGGTTTCACTTCTGCTACATTTATCAGCATGCCCCCTCAGAACAGGGGCTTCTTGCCTTGTGAATCTTCTGCACTTCATAGCTCAGCAAAAACAGCAGTTAAATACAGTCCTAGCATCTCATCTTATCTTTGGGTGTGCTTCTTTTCTACTAGTTTGAAAAAAAACAAAGAAAAGTCTTGCTAAAGAGTTCTGAGACCTGAATAGGCCTCAGGAAAACAAAACTTAGATTTGGGTACCAGTACCAAACCTATAGTTCAAAAATGTGAGCTGAAAGTGAACTTGCTTAAAGTCACATATTGCATGACCGAAATACTGTATTGAGAATTTTTCCAGCTGTTGTTATCTGACCCCTGCTTCATCCAGATAGATATTTAAGTAGGATATCCCCAGGGCACATGCTCTGAGGAGTTACTTGAAGGTTGGAATTGCAGAATTGTGTATTTCTAGCATTTTATATCCCTAGTGAAAAAGATACTCTATTTGGAACACATTTCATAAAAGGACTGCAGAGAACCTAATACATGTGAGAGGATGTAAACTGTGTACCAAAGTATTAATACAGTGGCTCATTCTCATACCACTTAATTAATATGGTATGGCAGAACATATTTTAAATAAATTATTTTTGCCAAACCAAGTATGTATCATAAACTGAACAGCTCTGGAATATTTTGAACATTTTAAATATTGTTTTAAATATTTCAATTATACTGTAAGATCAGTACAGTTTAATACATTGTTTAATAGATGTAGATTATATTATTAGCATTGTAGCTTATGGTGCTATTAAAAAAAATTAGATTTTAACCAGTTCCTTGCTGTTTCTGCATTACATCAACAGCCTTCATTTTCAAAATGAGATAAAGATTGGGCAGCATACACAGGAGGAAAAGGTAATTAGCAGCACATATGACCATACAATACATACTGCAAACCCAAATACTATTCTCTGAAGCACTGGGCTCAGGCTTTATCCCTAATCTAGTAAATCTCTGCCTGTTCCATGAAAAATTTGGACCTTTTTGTTCAGTAGCTCCTCTTGATGGTTCTTGTTGCTTCCCTTCTGTCTCCGTAGCCCAACTGTTGGGTGATTGAAGTCCAGATTTAACGGACCCCTCTTGCAGTTCATCCTTCCCTCCTGGCCCCTTGCAATGGTCTTTTGCTTTCACACTGTCTCCTTCTGAAGACTGTTCCCCCTGGGTACTGTCTGCAGATTGGGCTACTTTAGTCATTTCAGACTCCAGCTATTGGTATTTTTGTTACTGCTGTTTCTAAAGCCCTCAGATGGCTGGCTTCCTGGAGACTCACACAGTTTGCTCCCAGCTCAGGGACTGCTGGAGACACTGTATTGCTGGGTTGAGAGGAATTATTTATAGAAAATAATTCCTTGGATATTTTCTTAATCAACTAGCCTTGTAGCTCTGGAGGGGGCTAGGATTAAAGGAGGTGGGATACTATGATATTTGCACCCATAAGGGAATAAGGGAAGCTGAGAGGGGCTGGGAAAATGCTATTAATTAGTTCCCTCTCCTCTCCAGACCTGGCCTTGGCTCTCACACTTCTAATTATAACAGCTAGAAATTCATCAGCAATTTCACGAAACTAGAACCTCTGTGCTCCCCAGGGAAGGGAAATGGGAGAAAGAGAAGAGAAAAATTACAAAGAAAAAAGGTTTGACCTGAAGAAGAACTCTGTGTAAGCTTGAAAACTTGTCTCTCTCTCACCAATAGAAGTTGGCCCAATAAAAGCTATTACCTCACCCACATTGTCTCTATAAAGAAAAAAGGGTGAGAAGTATGGAATGGAGAGAAAATATCAAATGACTAGTTAGCTGTCTCAAAAAAGTAAACGTTTTTTCTTTTTAGAGAGGTGGAATGAGAAGGTGAAAGTTCATTTATCTGTTTCTTTGAAGTCATAGAGATAATGTACCATGTGATGAAACTCACCAATTGGCATGAAGGGCTGTGAGGCGGGGCTAGGCCGGGACATGCCAATGGAATTCACAGCATAAAGCCGCATCTCATAAACAACACCTTCAATCATTCGCTTGGCTTCATATGACAGCTCCTTCAAAAGGTCAAAGTTCAGCCGCATCCACCGGTAGCTCTTCTTCTTTTTCCTCTCTAAGATATAGCCTATGAATGAAAAAAAATTCTGTGATGTATAAGAATAAGAAGTGGCTGAGACAGCATAATTTTCTGAAGCAAAAGAAAATCGAAAACTACCCTTGTTCTAAATATATGGAGGGGCCCAATCCAGGCCCAACACTGCTGAGTTTGCACTTCAGAGCCTCCTCTCTGGGGATCTATGTGGGGTCCAGTATTATCTACCTCCCGTGCTCCAGAGTCTTGCTGGGCCCAGTAGTAGCTACTCTACACTGTCATTAGTTCTTGTCGTCAGATTTGATTTCTCTGTTCCAAGACCTGAAATTTGCCTGAGCTTTTGAGAAGGAATATGATGACACCATCCTCCTCAACAAAAACAACAGTGGAAGGAAGGAAACCCACATTGCTGGAATTGACTATTTCTTTTACTATATTTCCCTTTTCAGTCAAATTGTCCTAAGCCAGAGAGAGTGGCAAGTAAGCAAATAAAAGGCAATAAGAAACCCCTTTAAAACAAAAGAGAGAGAGAGAAAAAAAAAGAAAAATATAATTGTAAATGAATTGCCAGGATGTGCATATAACTAAATTGCTGTTGCTCTCCACCTTCCATGCTCTGTTCCCTCTCTACTATTTGACATCCTCATTTGTTTGATCATATTGGAAATTTAGATTGTAGCTCTTCTGGGGCTGCGGATGCCTTTCTATGTCTGTTGTTAAGCACTTAGCACACTCTTGATGCTATACAATAATAGTATTCTATTATGTATAGTATGTAAAAATAATAAACAAAGTTGAGAAAGAGTAGAGTTCCCATCTGCCCTCTCTAGACCTATTACATGGCTTGGGAACAAGTATTCTTCATTAATCACTGAACCAATTAAGGCAGGGGTAGGCAACCTATGGCACGCGTGCCGAAGGCGGCACTCATACTGCCTGGGTCTTGACCACCAGTCCAGGGGGCTCTGCATTTTACATTAATTTTACATGAAGCTTCTTAAACATTTTAAAAACCTTATTTACTTTACATACAACAATAGTTTAGTTATATATTATAGACTTATAGAAAGAGACCTTCTAAAAACATTAACATGTATTACTGGCACGCGAAACCTTAAATTAGAGTGAATAAATGAAGACTCGGCACACCACTTCTGAAAGGTTGCTGACCCCTGAATTAAGGCATGAGCGCCTCATGTGAAGGTAAAGATTTGGAATAGTGTAGGCCCATTACTAGATAGAGATGGTAAATTTGTTAATAACGATACCGGAAAGACAGAAGTGTTCAGTAAACATTTATTTTCTATATTTGGAAAGCAGCAGGATGATGTACTCATATCATAGGAGAATGATGAAGTACTTTCCAGCTCATTAGTACGAAGTAGGATGTTAGACAACATCTAGTAAGGATAAACATTTTTAATTCAGCAGACCTGGATAACTTTCACCAAGAGACCTAAAAGAGTTGGCTGAGGAGATCTGTGGCCTGGTGGTGTTAATTTTAATAAATCTTGGAACACTAGGGAAATTCTAGAAGAATGGAAGCGTGTTAATATTATTCCACTATTCAAAAGGGCAAGCGGGATGACCTGGGCAGGCTAGCCTGAAATCAGTCCTGGGCAAAATACTGGATAAGCTGATTACAGGATTCAATTGGTAAAGAGTTAAAGGATAGGAATATAATTAATGCCAGTCAAAATGGTTTTGTGAAAAATAGGTTTCGTCAAACAATCTGATTTAATTTTTTGATGAGATTACAAGTTCGGCTGAAAAAGGTAACTGCATAGATCTAATATATTTAGACTTCTATAAGGTGTTTGGCTGAGTACCATACTACATCCTGATTAAAAAATTAGTACTATGCAATATCAATAGAGCACATGTTAAATGGATTAAGAACTGGCTAGCTGACAGGTCTCAAAAAGTAGTTATCAATGGGGAATCATCATTAAATAGGGGTGTTTCTGGTGGGGGTCTACAGGGATCAGTATGAGGCCCAAAACTATTCAACGTTTTCATCAATGTTAGGAAAGTAAATATAAAATCACTGCTGATAAAATTTGTGTATAACACAAAGACTGGCTGTCAGAGAGGTAAATAAGGAGGGACTGGGCAGTCATACAGTGTGATCTGGATTGCTTCTTAAGCAAAGCCTCAAAGAAAATGCATTTTAATACAACCCAATGCAAAGTTATACAACTAGGAACAAAGAATGCAGGCCGTACTTGCAGAATGGGGGACTATATCCTGGAAAATAGTGACTCTGAAAAGAATTTGGGAGTCATAGTGGATGAACAAGTGAATTCTGTGGCAAAAAGGGCTAATGTGATCCTTGGTTACGTAAACATGGGAGTAGGGAGTATGAGCAGAGAGGTGATTTTACCTCTGTATATGGTATTGGTGAAACTGTTATTTGCGTACTGTGTACAGTTCTGGTGTTCACATTTTAAAAAGGATGATTAGAAACTGGAAAAGGTGAAGAAAAGAGCCACAAAAATTATTCAACGGCTGAAGAAAATGCTTTACAGTGCGAGACTTAAGGATCTCAATATGTTTAGCTTATCAAAAAGAAGATTGAGAGGTGACATGATTACTGCGTATAAGTACTTTCATAGGGACAAAATATCCAGCACTAAAGGGTTATTTAATGTAGTGGAGAAAGGCATAACAAGAACCAGTGGCTAAAAGTTGAAGCCAGAGAAATTCAAATTAGAAGTTAGACAAAAAATTTTAACGGTGAGAGTAATTAACTATTGGAACAAATTACCAAGGTAAATGGTAGAGTCTCCATCTCCTGTTGTGTTCAAATTAAGACTGGATAACTTTCTGGAAGATGTGCTTTCACCAAACACAAGTTATGCTTTATTAAATGCATGTTACTGGTCTCAATGTAGGGGCAACAGGGTGAAAATTAATGACCTCTGACTAATGGTCCCTTCTGGCCTTAAACTGTATGAATCTTCCCACATAATTTGTGTATGAAATGCATTGAGATCCTTGCATGGAAGATAATCTAAAAGAACAAGTATTATTGTTCTAGTTTGGTTTGAGTGAGATCCTATTATTATGACTTCCCCTGACATTTTTCACTTCTGATGCTGGGAGACCAGGTGCCAGCTTATGCCAAGGCCCCTAGGCCTCATGGAACAATGACAGATGCGTAGCTGGAAACCAGTCTGGCTCACCTGTGTGTTAGCATTGTTACAATAGATGTTAAGTTTATAAGAATGTGTTTAATGTTTAGACTTGATGAAATGCTGGTAGGATGCTGCATGCATTGATCTTACTTATAACATCTGTATCCCATGGTATACAGTTATATTGAGTGTTTGCATTGTAAAACTCAGTAATTGTGTAACTCACCAAACAGGAAAGAAGCTTTAATTAATGTGACATGCTGGTCCCGCACACAAGAAGGCCCATTGAAACCAAATGAGCCATTGTAAAACATCAAAGTACAAAGATTTTGTTGATTGTCCCACACACCCCCATGAAGAGGAGACAGGCGCAAACACTTATCCCATCAGTTTGAACTATGGGGGAAGGGAATAAAAATCCCTGTATCATTATACTGCTTGGAGTTTAGAGAGGGCAGTAGTTTCTAAGCATAAGCAAGGGATCCCCAATCTGCTTAGCCTTGGTTAGTTCTAAAGGACATAGCTTGCATATCACAGCACCTTCTAATACTTTTTGGAACCTAAGATTGTAACTAATTTGTGTGTATATGTTTACCTACTTTAACCTTGTAAATAACTCTCTTATTTCTTAGTTAATAAATCTTTAGTTAATTATAGGATGGGATACAAATGTTATCTTTGGTGTGAGGTCTAAGGTGCAATTGAACTGGGATAAGTGTCTGGTCCTTTGGGATTGGGAGTAACCTGAACATTGTTGTGATTTTTGTTATAAGGGACCATCTGTCACAAACGCAGGTTTGCTTTTGTCATAAACATACAGCTAAAGGTAGCATAAAATCCCTCTTTACCTGTAAAGGGTTAATTCCTCTTTTACCTGTAAAGGGTTAAGAAGCTCAGATAACCTGGTTGGCACCTGACCAAAAGGACCAATAAGGGGAGAAGATACTTTCAAATCTGTGGGGGAAGGTTTTTGTTTGTGTCTTTGTTTGGTTCTCTTCGAGTCAGCAAGGAACCAGAGCAGGAAAAATACATCTCCTTAAGCATATCTGGACTAAGCATCTAGTATTGCAGAAATAGTAAGTAATAGCAAAGAAATGCGTTAGATTATCTTTTGTTTTAGCTTATGAATTTTCCCTGTGCTAAGAGGGAGGTTTATCCCTGTTTTTGTAACTTTTAAAGTTTTGCCTAGAGGGGAAATCCTCTGTGTTTTTGAATCTTTTGTTATTTTGTAAAGTACTTACCATCCTGATTTTACAGAGGTGATTCTTTTACCTTTTCTTTAATTAAAATTATTCTTTTAAGAACCCGATTGATTTTTCATTGTTCTTAAGATCCAAGGGTTTGGGTCTGTGTTCACCTGTACCAATTGATGAGGATATCATTCTCAAGCCTTCCCCAGGAAAGGGGGTGTAGGGCTTGGGGGAATATTTTTGGGGAATAGGACTCCAAGTTGTCCTTTCCCTGATTCTTTGTCTAAATCACTTGGTGGTGGCAGCATACTGTTCAAGGACAAGTTGGAACTTGTGCCTTGGGAAAGTTTTAACCTAAGCTGGTAAAAATAAGCTTAGGGGGTCTTTCATGCGGGTCCCCACATCTGTACCCCAGCGTTCAGAGTGGGGAGGGAACCCTGACAGCTTGGGTGGTAAAATAGACCAGAGTACTAAAGGGGACTATCTGAGACTCCATGTTCAGGCTGCCGTAGTGCTTGAGGAGTTCACACTTATTACTTGGTTGGTGAAATCTAAGCATAGAACTCACAACTAGTTTGGGGTTTGTGCCCTGCTTTTTGACAATCTGCCCTGAGGTTGGCACTCACACTTGTGAGCTACTCAAGACAACTTGACACCACTGTCAACTTTTCCCAGTAAAATCTTCAGTCGTTTATTATGCAGTAGT